TATATATATATATATATATATATATATATATATATATATATATATATATATATATAGGTATATATATATATATATATATATATATATAGGTATGTAATTAGGGTTAGGGTTTAGATATTTAACGAAAATAATTAATAAAAAATATAATTAATTACATTTTAAATCAAATAATTATGGGAGAATTATCTACAAAATAAAACATATCAGTTATACTAATACAACAGATAATACGTAATAGTAAAAATAATACAACTAATTGTACAATTAAATAAGAATAATTAATAAAAAATATAATTACTTACATTTAAAATCAAATAATTATGGAAAAATTATCTATATAATAAAACATACCAGTTATACTAATACAACAGATAATATACAATAATAGTAATAATATAATAAATTATACAAAATAATACGTAATAATAATACAACGTATTATACAAAATAATACATAATAGTAAAAATAATACAATGTATTATTCAAAATGATACATAATAGTATCGATAACACAATGGATTAATTCTAGAAATTTTTACTGCACTAAGTTAATTTATAAATATCAAAATCATTTAAATAAATATAAAATTTGGACTTTTAAATTGTAGAAAATTCTAGAAAATCAAGAAATTATAAATACTCTTTTGAAAATAATAATTAAATATTTTAAAATATTAAAAAAATTATTTTAATTAGTATCAAAATTTTACGGTCATTACAGGTGGCGAAGGTCTCTTGTTGTGCACAAGAGAGATAGAGGCACCACAGCGAGGCATATGAAAGTGAGGGTCATCAAGGCATCCAGGTTGGAGTGCGGGTGTTCTAATTAGGAGTGTAGATGCTTCAGATTGAAGAACAAAAGAATTAGAAGACTATAGCAGGAGAGATAAAGTTTCAAGACAGTAATGATAGATTATCGAGGTGGCCTAGGAATCAAATTCAATGTGGAGATTATTAGGATTGTGTCTTTGATTCTTTGTATAACTCTATGAAAATTAGATAGAGCTAGAGATCTATCATGATTAGGAGATTAAGTCTCATCATGATTAGGAGTTTGTATCCTGTTGATGTCCGAGATCACACAGTCGATGAGAGCTATCCGCTGATGACGAAGAGGGAGAGGATGAGAGATGGGGCCGACTTCTCCGACTTTATGCCTAATCCTTGGACTGGAATTCCTGATTCTTCTGTATAAAGAAGAAGAACGAACCCATAAGAGGGCGGGGCTTGTTTCCCCCGTGGTACCTCCGACAGTCAAGTCAGCTGGTGAGCTTGAGTGGGGTTTGAGGGAGAGTCCTAGGACCATTGAGGTCCTTGTAAGGGTGTACTCTTTTAGAGTTATTAGTAAAAAGAAATAGATAAAGAGGGATAAATGATCCTCAAGGTTTAATGAAGGTCCAGCCCCCTTTTTTCTTACCCTGCTTCTCTCCTTTTATAGTCAATCACCTTTGAGACAATAACCCTTGGCTCTGACTATGCACAGGAGGGTAGTTTGGAAAGTGAGCGGACAGGCTGCTGAGTCATCATTCGTTTTACAGATGTCAGCTTGCGACTGAAGGGGAAGTCATTCGAGCATAGGAGAGGATGTCTCGACTATGTTCTGGATTTGATAGATAAGGCATGACATGATGAAGGATAAGCTGGCTACTTAGCCGTTCTTCCTTATACAGATGTCAGATGGTGACTGGGAGGGAGGTCATTCGAGCATAAGAGATGATATCTTAGTAATATCTGGGAAATGACTTTTGAGTCAGAGAAAGTTGTGTATGCACGAGGTTTGTCAGAGTTGAGATCTTGATGGGATCGATCAAGACTATAGTGTTGATTGATGTATATCTGAAGGGAGCTTAGTTGGATCTTATCCCCTTAGTAGAGACGGGTCGGTTTTTTGAATCGTCCCCATGACTTGCCGACCGGGTAGTCGAGCGAGCTTCTGGCAGAGTAGACTGTCGAGTAGATGGTCGAACCAACTATTTGAGGAGTCATCTCGATCATGGGGTGGGTGGACTCTTGAGGAGTCGTCTCGATCATGAGGGGTCGACTTATCCCGCACTTCGTGTCGGTAAAGATGACTCATTTTTTCGACTGGTCGATAGATTTTTTCTTGGCTGGGTTTTGGGCCACAAAGCTGGTTTGGACCATAACTCTTTTGGGCCTATGAAGACATAGCTTCTAGATATTTTTGTTTTTAGATGGTGAATTACGATAACAGATGGCCCTTTTCACTCGGAGCTGACTTTAGTCGGGTTCGAGTGAATAAATGAGAGCTTTCGATCAGTATAAACTCGCTCAAGATGTTTGAGGGTTTTTAGCCAGTTGATCGTGGCTGAAGATGTGGTGTAGGGCTTTCTGTCCAACCATTATCTCTTATAAACGTATATCTTGAACTGCTTTTTTAGAGGACACGAAGCGTCGTGAGCCGAACAAGTGGCGCTTTATTACCGATTTATTGGCGTGGAATAATATGCACGAGCGACGGTTGGCATTTCGAGCAATCCGTTTTAGAGTCTCAAAGTGGATCTTTCTTTGTTGCTTCAAGATTGTGCCTCTCGAGTTTTTCTGCATGCTTCTTTAGAGGCTTA